ATGACAATGACCCAAAACACACAGCCAAGGCAACAAAGGAGTGGCTCAAGAAGAAGCACATTAAGGTCCTGGAGTGGCCTAGCCAGTCTCCAGACCTTAATCCCATAGATAATCTGTGGAGGGAGTTTAAGGTTCGAGTTGCCAAATGTCAGCCTCGAAACCTTAATGACTTGGAGAAGATCTGCAAAGAGGAGTGGGACAAAATCCCTCCTGAGATGTGTGCAAACCTGGTGGCCAACTACAAGAAACATCTGACCTCTGTGATTGCCAACAAGGGTTTTGCCACCAAGTACTAAGTCATGTTTTGCAGAGGAGTCAAATACTTATTTCCCCCATTAAAATGCAAATCAATTTATAAAATTTTTGACATTTTTCTGGATTTTTTTGTTGTTATTCTGTCTCTCACTGTTCAAATAAACCTACCATTAAAATTATAGACTGATCATTTCTTTGTCAGTGGGCAAACGTGCAAAATCAGCAGGGGATCAAATACTTTTTTCCCTCACTGTAAGTGTGAATGTGGGGTAAAATCAGATGTATTCATGAAAACAGGCAGAACAAATAGAATAACACCCTATTCATTTATATCCTTTATTGTGAGTCTTAAAGGCGATGCAGAAAGCATAGGCTAGGTAACAACACATCTGCCACGCTGATCCTCAACACGGGGGCCCCTCAGGGGTGCGTGCTCAGTCCCCTCCTGTACTCCCTGTTCACCCATGACTGCATGGCCAGGCACGACTCCAACACCATCATTAAGTTTGCCGACGACACAACAGCGGTAGGCCTGATCACCGACAACGATGAGACAGCCTATAGGGAGGAGGTTAGAGACCTGGCCGTGTGGTGCCAGGATAACAACCTCTCCCTCAACGTGACCAAGACAAAGGAGATAATTGTGGACTACAGGAAAAAGAAGAGGACCGAGCACGCCCCCACATCACCAACAAATGGTCATGGTCCAAACACACCAAGACAGTCGTGAAGAGGGCACGACAAAGCCTATTCCCCCTCAGGAGACTGAAATGATTTGGCATGGGTCCTCAGATCCTCAAATAATTCTACAGCTGCACCATCGAGAGCATCCTGACTGGTTGCATCACTGCCTGGTATGGCAACTGCTCAGCCTCCGACCACAAGGCACTACAGAGGGTAGTGCGGACTGACCAGTACATCACTGGGGCCAAGCTTCCTGCCATCCAGGACCTCTATACCAGGCGGTGTCAGAGGAAGGCCTAAAAATTGTCAAAGACTCCAGCCACCCTAGTCATAGACTGTTCTCTCTGCTATCGCACGGCAAGCAGTACTGGAGCGCCAAGTCTAGGTTCAAAAGGCTTCTTAACAGCTTCTACCCCCAAGCCATAAGACTCCTGAACAGCTAATCAAATTGCTACCTGGACTATTTGCATTGTCCACCTCACCCCTTCTTTTACACTGCTGCTACTCTCTGTTTATTATCTATGCATAGTCACTTTAACTCTACCTACATGTACATACTACCTCAATTACCTCGACTAACCTGTGCCCTGACTCTGTACCGGTACCCCCTGTACATAGCCTCGCTACTGTTATTTTACTGCTGCTCTTTAATTATTTGTCATTTTTAACTTATCTATTTTTTACTTAACACTTATTTTTCTTAAAACTGCATTGTTGGTTAAGGGCTTGTAAGTAAGCATTTCACTGTAAGGTCTACACCTGTTGTATTCAGCGCATGTGACAAATAACATTTTATTTTATTTGATATAGGCAGCATTATTACATGTACATTTTAGTCATTTAGCAGACGCTCTTATCCAGAGCGACTTACAGTTAGTGAATACATTTTTTTTTTTTCATACTGGTCCCCCGTGGGAATCGAACCCACAACCCTGGCGTTGCAAACGCCATGCTCTATCAACTGAACTACATCCCTGCCGGCCATTCCCTCCCCTACCCTGGACAACGCTAGGCCAATTGTGCGCTGCCCATGAGTCTCCCGGTCGCGGCCGGCTGCGACAGAGCCTGGATTCGAACCAGGATCTCTAGTGGCACAGCTAGCACTGCGATGCAGAGATATTCAACTCTTCCTTGGATAACTGAGCTATTACAGAACACCACACACAACATTCCATCATAGTACTAAACCATAAGCACACAATCAAAATAACACAAATATAAAAGACAAAAGGTTTGGTTAAAAAAAATTCTCTGTAAGGCCTTATATGCCACTGGTTTGAACACAGTCACATACCGTATACTGTAGAGCATTCTGTGCTTTGAGTTTACAGCTATTCTACATTATGTCCACTTCCTGTGCAGTACATGAACGGTACTACTGAGCTACACAAAACTTTACCAGGGACAAAACAACAGTTTCTCCCAGTACACAACCACTCACTTTATACAAACACACATTGTAGACACCAGTGGAGGCTGCTGAGGTGAGGACTGCTCACAATAACGGCTGGAACGGAGTAATTGGAATGGCATCAAGCACATGGAAACCATGTGTTTGATGCATTCAATACCATTCCACTGATTCCGCTCCAGCCATTACCATGAGCCCGTCCTCACAAATTAAGTTGCCACCAACCCCCTGTGGTATACATAGGTTATCTTTGTTCAATTAACAGCTCCTTTGAATTGAAAGAATCCCCCTTTTAACGCAACAAAGTCCACAAACATTTATTTTATGTGATTGGACGAGGCTGCTGAGTTTGAGTCTTGATCCCGCCTCTACAGGAAATAAAACTGTATAAAATCCTTTGTCATCAACCTGGAGTAGGATAAAGATCCCCTGTTGATCCAAGATCAGTTTTATGGTTTTACTGTCTGATTGGTTGAGCTGTTCACCTGGTTTAAACCAATTGTGGATCAGACAGAACAGTAACAAGCTATTGGAGCTGTCAGAGACAGACAGGAGAGGGAGGAGAGAGCCTCACTGGACCATGGAGGTGACTGCTCAGAGAGGCTGATATCTGGCCGGTCTACACTGAGATAAAGATCCCCCCCCTCTTCTTTTGCTCTTTCTCCAGGCACTTATCTCGTAGATATCCCTTAATGCTCATCACATACGCTGCTGCTACTGTTTATTATCTTTCACTTTATTCCTACTTATACAGTGGGGGAAAAAAGTATTTAGCCAGCCACCAATTGTGCAAGTTCTCCCACTTAAAAAGATGAGAGAGGCCTGTAATTTTCATCATAGGTACACGTCAACAATGACAGACAAAATGAGAAGAAGAAAAAATCCAGAAAATCACATTGTAGGATTTTTAATGAATTTATTTGCAAATTATGGTGGAAAATAAGTCTTTGGTCAATAACAAAAGTTTCTCAATACTTTGTTATATACCCTTTGTTGGCAATGACACAGGTCAAACGTATTCTGTAAGTCTTCACAAGGTTTTCACACACTGTTGCTGGTATTTTGGCCCATTCCTCCATGCAGATCTCCTCTAGAGCAGTGATGTTTTGGGGCTGTCGCTGGGCAACGCGGACTTTCAACTCCCTCCAAAGATTTTCTATGGGGTTGAGATCTGGAGACTGGCTAGGCCACTCCAGGACCTTGAAATGCTTCTTACGAAGCCACTCCTTCGTTGCCCGGGCGGTGTGTTTGGGATCATTGTCATGCTGAAAGACCCAGCCACGCCCTTGCTGATGGAAGGAGGTTTTCACTCAAAATCTCACGATACATGGCCCCATTCATTCTTTCCTTTACACGGATCAGTCGTCCTGGTCCCTTTGCAGAAAAACAGCCCCAAAGCATGATGTTTCCACCCCCATGCTTCACAGTAGGTATGGTGTTCTTTGGATGCAACTCAGCATTCTTTGTCCTCCAAACACGACGAGTTGAGTTTTTACCAAAAAGTTCTATTTTGGTTTCATCTGACCATATGACATTCTCCCAATCCTCTTCTGGATCATCCAAATGCACTCTAGCAAACTTCAGACGGGCCTGGACATGTACTGGCTTAAGCAGGGGGACACATCTGGCACTGCAGGATTTGAGTCCCTGGCGGCGTAGTGTGTTACTGATGGTAGGCTTTGTTACTTTGGTCCCAGCTCTCTGCAGGTCATTCACTAGGTCCCCCCGTGTGGTTTTTGCTCACCGTTCTTGTGATCATTTTGACCCCACAGGTTGAGATCTTGCGTGGAGCCCCAGATCGAGGGAGATTATCAGTGGTCTTGTATGTCTTCCATTTCCTAATAATTGCTCCCACAGTTGATTTCTTCAAACCAAGCTGCTTACCTATTGCAGATTCAGTCTTCCCAGCCTGGTGCAGGTCTACAATTTTGTTTTCTGGTGTCCTTTGACAGCTCTTTGGCTTGGCCATAGTGGAGTTTGGAGTGTGACTGTTTGAGGTTGTGGACAGGTGTCTTTTATACTGATAACAAGTTCAAACAGGTGCCATTAATACAGGTAACGAGTGGAGGACAGAGGAGCCTCTTAAAGAAGAAGTTACAGGTCTGTGAGAGCCAGAAATCTTGCTTGTTTGTAGGTGACCAAATACTTATTTTCCACCATAATATGCAAATAAATTCATTACAAATCCTACAATGTGATTTTCTGGATTTTTTTTCTTCTCAATTTGTCTGTCATAGTTGACGTGTACCTATGATGAAAATTACAGGCCTCTCTCATCTTTTTAAGTGGGAGAACTTGCACAATTGGTGGCTGACTAAATACTTTTTTTCCCCACTGTATGTACATATATACCTCAATTACCTTGTACCCCTGCACATCGAATTGGTACTGGTACCCAGTGTCTATAACCAAGTTATCGATTCTAATTGTGTATATTTTATTATTATTATCATCACTTTTCCATTGTTCCTCTATATTTCTCTCTGCGTTGTTGGGAAGGGCCCGTAAGTAAGCATTTCACTGTTAGTCCACACCTGTTGTTTACCAAGCATGTGACAAAATGTGATTTGATGCGATCCTTCTCTCTATCCTGCCTCCCTCTCTCTCAGTGACCCTGGTCCTTGTGAAGCTGCATTCTCTCCCTCTCCACCACTAGTCTCTCCCTCTCTATCTGCAGTCGTCCAGACTCAAACTTAAAGAACTGCAGCCTCTCTTTCTCTAACTGCAATCTCTCCTTCTCCAGCCTCAGTCTCTCGCCCTCCAGATCTATCATAGAAAGCCAGGGTTTATTCTCTTTTCTCTCATTCTGTCCATCCACAGCAGAGGAAGAGGAGGTGGTAGGGGTGGGGGGGGTGGACGAGGAGGGAGGGCCTTGCTGGGGGGGAGCAGCGGCCCATTCTGATTGGTTCATGAGCAACACCCTAAGTCTCTCTTTCTCCACCTGCAGTCTCTCTTTCTCCAGCTGCAATCTCTCCCTCTCCACCTCCGACTGACTAAGTCTCTCCTTCTCCAGTAGGAGTCTCTCTCTCTCCACCGCTAGCCGCTCCGTTTCCACAGCCAGTCGCTGCCTCTCCAGTTCCACACGCTGCTTCTCCAAACCAACCATAAGTCCCGTACTCTCGTGATTGGCCAGTCCTAACCCAACAAAGCCCATTCCGCCCAATGAGAGGTCCCGATTCATCGAGGTCGCGGTTCCCTTTGAGGCACTGAGCATTCCGAACTCATCGATGTGTGAGAAGACTTCAGGGATGCGTCCATCGCGCTCTCCCATGTCGGGTAGGAGGGAGGTTAAACAATCTTCATCATCATCATCATCATCATCATCCTCCTCACCATCTCCCTCTCCGCTATCACCCTCCAGCTGACAGAGAGAAACAGAGACAGAGGGACTCCGATCATATTTATACTAATTAATACAATACACACATGCTGGCACGCACACTAGTGATGTGCGGGTCAGCTGTTTGTTCACCTGCACGGAATTGCTAATAACCCATCCGCAACAGCCCGACTATATGTGATAAAGTGAAAATCTGAGGCCCGCACCCGACCCTAACGTAATATAGAAAAATGCGCTGTAGAGTCAGAAGGCAGATTTTTTTGGGGCCAGGTCTTTCTAGATAGGCCTATGTTTCTGCTTATAATTTCCGACATTTTGGTAGGCTATTTGTTAGTGAACTTGTCTTCTGTCATTGCTTGTTGCCCTAGAAGACCAAATAAACCCTTGCTCACCAGCATAATGTCATAAATCGATAGAATGAATGCTTCAATCTAGTTGACGTCGGTAAAGTTTGTTTTCGCTTTCCTCCCTCGAGCAGCAAAGACATTAAGGGACTGGGAGAAAATGCTATAACAAAAAAACTGAAAAGATTTTCCCTGTAGAATTTCCAAATTATATCAGTTTGACCGGTTTTAAGGACATTAAAAGCTGTTAAAAACTACCCAACATGTTTTTGATAAGATTTCAGATCAGCTTTGATGCATATTCAATGTGGTTGAAATCCTATCAGCTTTTATGCTGCTGATAAAAGATAGCCCCACCACCTTTACAGACAGTCCCTGACCGTGCATTCATTCTCTCAAGATGCTGAAATTAATTATATTTATCCACTTCTGTTCCGGAGTCTAAATTTACATTTGGTGTATCATTTTACTGCAAGAAATGCTTAAATTCTGCACCAGTTAATATTACATTAGGCTGTGTGAGAGGTTATAGCCCTAAAGTCAGTGTCTAGATTTCAGTTCAGCTACTATTCCATTTAACCCATCCGAACAGTACAGTTCACTTAACATGCCATTTTGAAGTCCCCTGAAGCGACTGTCGAATTTGTATAGTGACCACAATCATCACACATAACATTGGCAACTGCTATCATCCTCGTTTACAACTAAACCAAATATTATTAATTTTTTAAATGTGAATACTGCCCTCCCTTCGATTAATTTTCAACTCTCCATTTCACAGTTTTTCCTCTTATTGAATTAAACTCAGACATGGTCTTTTTTGCCTCAGCAGATCGATAAACTTTTTCTGCCCAAGTTGCCAAAAGCGTTTGGCAATTGCCCAAAGCTTATGCTTAGGCTACGCATTAACGGCAGATACAAATGATAGAAAAACCTCAAATTTACCTATGAATATGAATTTCACAAGAATTCTACATTTACAGATTTGTTATACATTGTTTTCCCTTTATTCAACCCGCAAATCACTAACGCACACACACACAGAGATCCTCACCCTGTATCCGCTGGCCTCCTCCTCCATCTTTACCCCTGTAGACATTACGTGTCCGCTGGGCTCTCCAAGATCCGCCAGGTCCTGCCAGTCGCACTGGGACTCCTTGGGAAAGCTAGAGAGGTCGAGCGACTGGTCCCTTGAGCCCAGTGAGGCGTTGTGTTCGGGGGAGGAGGGATCATACTCTGCCTTCAGCCCTGTGGGGAGAGAGAGCTCAGCACGGAGCTGCTTCCTCTTCATTAGCGACCGCCAGTCCAGGTAACGCCGCTTCACCTGGAACCACACACAATCATTACAAACAGTGGTGATGTCACAACTCTCAAGATTCTTCAGGAAGTATAGGTAAATCTGCACTGGGAAGTGGGAGCATAATGGAACACCTTCCAGTGAATGGGGCTGAATGAAACTATTGAAATGCGGCCCTTGTATGTAGGATACTTCCTGCTCTCTTTTCAGTGTTGTGTTCGAGACCACCTAAAGCGAGACCGATTCAAGACCAAGACCGGAGCAAATCGAGTCAGACTCAAGACCAGAAAGGGGGGTAGAGACCGAGTCAAGACCGGGAGGGGGGCGAGGGGTCCGAGACAGAGACAAGACCAAGACCAGAAGAAATGTGAGTCCAATTCAAGACCATGATTGTACAGTGGGGAAAAAAAGTATTTAGTCAGCCACCAATTGTGCAAGTTCTCCCACTTAAAAAGATGAGAGAGGCCTGTAATTTTCATCATAGGTACACGTCAACTATGACAGACAAAATGAGGAAAAAGAATCCAGAAAATCACATTGTAGGATTTTTTATGAATTTATTTGCAAATTATGGTGGAAAATAAGTATTTGGTCAATAACAAAAGTTTCTCAATACTTTGTTATATACCCTTTGTTGGCAATGACACAGGTCAAACGTTTTCTGTAAGTCTTCACAAGGTTTTCACACACTGTTGCTGGTATTTTGGCCCATTCCTCCATGCAGATCTCCTCTAGAGCAGTGATGTTTTGGGGCTGTCGCTGGGCAACACAGACTTTCAACTCCCTCCAAAGATTTTCTATGGGGTTGAGATCTGGAGACTGGCTAGGCCACTCCAGGATCTTGAAATGCTTCTTACGAAGCCACTCCTTCGTTGCCCGGGCGGTGTGTTTGGGATCATTGTCATGCTGAAAGACCCAGCCACGTTTCATCTTCAATGCCCTTGCTGATGGAAGGAGGTTTTCACTCAAAATCTCACGATACATGGCCCCATTCATTCTTTCCTTTACACGGATCAGTCGTCCTGGTCCCTTTGCAGAAAAACAGCCCCAAAGCATGATGTTTCCACCCCCATGCTTCACAGTAGGTATGGTGTTCTTTGGATGCAACTCAGCATTATTTGTCCTCCAAACACGACGAGTTGAGTTTTTACCAAAAAGTTCTATTTTGGTTTCATCTGACCATATGACATTCTCCCAATCCTCTTCTGGATCATCCAAAGGCACTCTAGCAAACTTCAGACGGGCCTGGACATGTACTGGCTTAAGAAGGGGGACTGCAGGATTTGAGTCCCTGGCGGCGTAGTGTGTTACTGATGGTAGGCTTTGTTACTTTGGTCCCAGCTCTCTGCAGGTCATTCACTAGGTCCCCCCATGTGGTTCTGGGATTTTTGCTCACCGTTCTTGTGATCATTTTGACCCCACGGGGTGAGCTCTTGCGTGGAGCCCCAGATCGAGGGAGATTATCAGTGGTCTTGTATGTCTTCCATTTCCTAATAATTGCTCCCACAGTTGATTTCTTCAAACCAAGCTGCTTACCTATTGCAGATTCAGTCTTCCCAGCCTGGTGCAGGTCTACAATTTTGTTTCTGGTGTCCTTTGACAGCTCTTTGGTCTTGGCCATAGTGGAGTTTGGAGTGTGACTGTTTGAGGTTGTGGACAGGTGTCTTTTATACGGATAACAAGTTCAAACAGGTGCCATTAATACAGGTAACGAGTGGAGGACAGAGGAGCCTCTTAAAGAAGAAGTTACAGGTCTGTGAGAGCCAGAAATCTTGCTTGGTTGTAGGTGACCAAATACTTATTTTCCACCATAATTTGCAAATAAATTCATTAAAAATCCTACAATGTGATTTTCTGGAATTTCTTTTCTCAATTTGTCTGTCATAGTTGACGTGTACCTATGATACAAATTACAGGCCTCTCTCATCTTTTTAAGTGGGAGAACTTGCACAATTGGTGGCTGACTAAATACTTTTTTTCCCCACTGTATGTGTCAAATCGCCACCATAACAGTTCAAAATGTCCAGTATTTCTGTGTTAATATTTCATAAGAACACATGGATTCTTTAGACATTCAGAATGGTGAAAAGAAAATGCAGGCTGAGGGCAAAGAGAGAGCCACTACAAATGATCACTAACCCAACTTCCCCTGGTCTCCCCTTGCTAATAGTGAGCGTGCAACTTTCAAACAATTTCCCCCCACACTTCCCTCCCAGCAAAGTTTGAGGATATTTTTCAACCAAAGTAAAGGACAGTATATGATAAAGTAGGAAGCCCAGGTTTCAATAGGCGATAATATACTAATGTGTCATGAAAGGAGTGTGGTTTTATGCGCTGACTGAATGGGAGCTGACAATTATGTTTGTTTTTTACTCCGCTGATCTCTGGAAGGAATTACGAGTCCTCACTGTCCGAGACCAAGTCAAGACAGAGAAGAAATGTATCTGACACAAGACACTCAATATGCAGTCCAGAGACCGGACTCAAGGACTACAACACTGTCTCTTTTACAACATAATTTGTCACTATGGAAGCCCCCTCCACACACACCTCTGAAGCTGTGCGTAGCTCGCCCTCTCCCAGTGCGTTGACGCCTCCTGCTACCTCCTCCCAGGCTCGTCTCTTCAGCTCGTTGATGGCGGTGTTCTGCTGGCGGGAGAACAGCACGTCTCGTCTCTTGTGGATCTCCCGGATCAGCGTCTGCGTCTCACGAACGCTGTAGTTACTCTTCCTCTTCCTCTTCAGGTGTTTCATCTGCAGGAAATCCAGCCTGGCGGTCAGGAGGGGCGCGCACGCAGACGGACAGAGAGACAAATCAAGGAGGGATGGAGATAGGGATGGAGAGACAGAAGTCTTACAGAGGACCTCTGAAAGTGAGAGGGACATCATTGGGCAAAGGCATGGAGAAGTGTAAAAGAGGGATGAATGGATGGATGGATGGATGGATGAAAGGGGGGGAAGAGATACAGAGAGAGAGGGAGAGAGCAGTCAGGCTAGCTTGGACTTCAAGAAGTGAGTGTTGTATATCGCTGGATGAAGGACTGCTGTTGAGAAGAATCCCGCCTCATGTGACACACTCCCTTAGTTCACTCAAAGGCCAAGGGTCACACAGCACAGGTAAGTGCTACAGCAGGTGTGTCCTCAGGCAACCAGAGCACCAGGACAGGGCTCAGCTTCCTCCTGAAAGACAAACACAGGAGCAGAGAGCAACCAGAGAGCGATTAGTTAATCAAAATGGTGGTAAACTTATCTTCAATAGAACTCAAAATGGGTCTATTCTGTATCTTGATCTGTCACAGGACAAGTGCATGCTTTGACAGACCCAAGAGACTGCATGTGTAAGAAGACTGCTGTGTATTTGACCTGCTGAGTATCGTCGGAACAAAGATTTGCTTGCAGGCAACCATCATTACAAACCATGCCACAATAATGTTGTTTTTCATTTATTTGGGGCGACGATTGATGATGGGGGAACAGCTAGCCATCATAGCGGTCTCTCTCTTTTCTGAGGTGAGACGGGGATCAGGATAGGTTCCAGTTTGGACTATGTAACTGAGTGTAGTGCTTTGCATTACGCTTTTTGTGAAAAGCATCCGCTAGCTTGGAACGTAGCCTAATCGGCGTTGTTTGTTGAACCGTTAGCTAGCTAGCTAACAACATGCACACCATCACGTTTGCACCGTAAAAACTCAAACCTCCACAGATGATTTTTATTGAGGCGAAATGGTCACTCTCTCCTACGTAATGCTATTGATGATCATCGTAAAAAAACTCACCTTATCAATCGTAGAGAATAAATCAGATGCTCATCAACGCAAAAAAATCTCTGAATCGGAACAACACCTTTTGGCGACGCAGCGTAATCATCCATCCCATTGGTCCATCCATTGCCACTACCACTTTGACGTCCCACCCCCATCAGTTGTTCCGGATGTGGGGCCACACGTCATGTGTTGTTATTGCTAGATTTAATGTTCTTAAAGTGAAGCAAACACTACTGTTCAGGTGACATTCTGCCTTATCAAGCTCTCATGCTTTGCTAGCTAACTATGTTTTTTGGTTTGCAGCATTTACAGTGCTTAAAATGCCGATACACTTGCCTCACAGCTAACAGTTAGCTAAAATGGATAGATACTTCACATAAACTGTCAGTGCTAGCCAGCTGCATTATAAGAAGTAACGTTAGCTAAAAGCGGAACGTCGGTCTAACGTTACCCGTTCTTAGTACTGAAACTGGCCGTCATGGGAGGCGTGCGCTGGGCGTTCCAGTGTGGCTCGTGGACCCCGACCCGGCCTGAGTGGCTGCAGTGCGACGAGAAAGACCGAATCGGAAAGTTAATGTTTGCCAAATCAGCCATGGTGCGTTGAATGTGTTATTCCGATAATCCTTCTTTCTTCTATGGTATAATGCCGTTCGCAACAATTGGATGTGCATTCTGCCACCTACTGTGCGGGTGGATAATAAGGATCCCAAAAAAACGTAATAAGGTAATAATGTGGGTTAAAAAAAAAATATATATATATATATATCATACAAACTGTCTTAATTAACTAAACAAAATCAACCTGCTTTGGTGTAAAACACAAATTCTAATCAGGTCCCTACACAGGCTCAGAAGACATTTCCAAGGTACAATAGTCCTTGCAGTGCTTCTGCCATAAAGTCTTGGAGCCCCAAAAACTTTGCGGCTGTAGATATGACATCCAGCTTCTTGGACTTCTTAGACACGTGCTGTACAATGAATCACTGTGGTTATAAATGCCACAAAATCCACCTTCTTCACAATGTGTATCCAGATGACTTGATTGACTTAAAACACTAGCAACTGGTTGCAATGCATCCACCGCCATATCTTCAACACTGTCGCCTCTTGCCCCTAAGACTATCTTCACCGCCTCCACGTAGGAAATCCGCTGCACAGCCCTGATCCTTGACACTTCGGCCTCCTTCACCCTAACAGGGCACTCAAGGAAGAGTATGATCACCACCACAGTTGCAACATTTTCCATACACAGATTCTTCAATACCATACTTCTCTCGTCTACAAACATTTGACACGTGACCATATCCTTTACAATTCCCACACTGTTATGGTTTGGACACAAATGCTCTCACCGCATACCTCACATATCCAAACTTCACATATTCAGGTAGTCTCCTCAAACAGCAACAATATTGATAGGCTTTTTTCCTTCCTCCCATTTACTATACAGGTCAGGTAATATGCCCTGACCACTCCTGGGATTTTCTGACTAAGGTACTCGTCATCTATATCCAACGAGACTCCAGCTATAACTCCTTTGGCAGGCACCCTGCTCCGAAGATCAATACATGTTACTTCTGACGTGGCCAATTTTGCCACATCCAGTGCACGCTTCTTCTGTTCTTCATCGACACAATTAACCAAAACAATGCTGCTTCTAGTCACCTTTATTGAATCCACCTTTCCCACTGCTTTCTTCACAGTCCTCAATATTACAAATGGATTTCCCAAATGAATCTCCTTGTCCAAAAAATGCAGTCCAATGAGAAATTATTGGACCGGTCCTTGTCTTCCTCTACAACCTTCACTCATTTTGTTCCGTTATTTGATTTCACTGTTTTCCGTTCATTATCACACCCTTCACTTGCCACACTTTCAGATTCAAGCACAGTCACCATTTCCTCCCACGAGCACTCCGCCGCCCCCCCCCCCCCCCCCCCTCTTTTGATGATCAAATAACAATTTCCATGTTCTAGCTTTTTGTCACGTCCCAGCAGTTATTGACGCTCTCTCCTTTTTCCCTTCTCGCTCAGGCTGGCAGGTTGGTGTTGAGGAGGTTGGTGTGTGACAGGATGGGTGTTCCCTGGGCTGACATTGGCCTGGAGCGTTCTCCCAGAGGAAAGCCCTACCTGGCCAACCCAGCCTGCTCCAGCCCTGAAGCCGGGGTCTGGAGTTCTAACACCTCCCACCAGGGTGACTGTGATGTGCTGGCTGCAGAGCACGTGCTGCAGGTCGGGGTGGACGTGATGAAGACCACCATGCCAGGTGTATGTGTGTCTGCATGTTCATGCACACTGGCTTTCTTTAGCGCTTTGATGTTTGATTAAATAAGCAGCATTGAGAAGCGCTCATTTGGACAGTAAACTATCTTACTTCATCCTGAGTGAAACTTTCTCTCTCCCCTTTTCCTGTTTTGTGTGTGTGAGAGAGAGAAGTAACCCTTCTATCCCGTATAACTCCCCTGCTTGAGTCTCTCTATTTCACCATTCCCACCACATATCTCATTTGGCGTCCACCTCTCCATGCCTTCAGGACGCTAATGTACTAACCCAGTCCTGTCATCACCAAATCCCCTTCAACTAGGCCTAGACCTCTTCATCTGAAAAGGTTGAGCGCTCTACGTACCCTCATTCCCTGGAGGAAAACCTTAAAACACGCACTTAACTCCCACATTGCCCCCCAGGGAGAATAACTAGCTAGGCCCTTTAAACCTTATAGATGGGCTGTCATTCACAAATCCCTATATCCATTTTACAAAGACATCAAAAGGATTTCTTCCAAGTGTCATGCAGTTCCTTTTTTCACCACATGATGCCACTGTTATCTTTCATATTCTCTGAGCGGTTTGGCAGTGCTCTATTACAGGGATCTCTTTCCGTTCCCTCTGTGTGCTTAAAGATGGTTGGAAGAGACAAAGTGATGATCCGAAACAAAGTAGGAGTGTCTGTGTGTTGCTTTTCTCTCCATTTCATTTCAACCTCTCCCCCCTCAACTGTTTTCTTACTGTCAGAGCTCAAACCCTCAGGTTTGTGTGTGTATTTAATTATAAACCTGTGTTTCCCTGTACCCCCCTCTCTCTCCCTCCCTCCCTCTCGCTCTAGGTAGCAGTTCTGTCCCAGAGTTTTTCCATATCATGACGAGGCAGTTCACGGTGTATGAGTGGAGTGTTATCCGCTGAGCAGGATCTGAATGGGAGCAACTGACCATGTTCTACAGACACTGGGTAACCATGACGATACATACAGCACTCTCACATCCATGGTGATATATGATACACACGCTAGACTTGCACACTGACTCCTACACATTACATGCAGGGGCAGGGACCCCCGCACACACACACACACACACACACACACACACACACATGATTTGGGCTGCTCAGTCGAGATGTCAGATTGAGAGAGCAGCACAAGGACAGCAAGTACTGATATCATCGCTGTTGACTATTCTTAGTGCTTTCCCGTTGCTATAGTGACTTACCTTGTAATCCTGTTACTGTGGCTTGCCTTCGTGTAACAAGGTTTGCTTGATTTCAAAGACGCATCCACACACACTCAAAGTCCCTCACACACACAGAACCTTGTGTCATTGCCTGGACTTCAGAGACACATCCACACACACCATGATCATCACACACAGAACCCTGTGTCATTGCCTGGGACAGGGAAAGTGTTCAACCTGATAAGTGATGATTTTGGGTGCACCAATGGTTGTTCACCATTAAAATGATTATTGTGTACATGCAGTGCCTTCAGAAAGTATTAATGTCCCAAGACTTATTACACATTTTGTTGTTACAGCCTGAATTCAAAATGTATTTAATTGTTTTTTTCCCCTCACCCATCTACACACAATACCCCATAATAATGAAGTGAAAACATGTTTTTAGAAATGTTAGCAAATGTATTGAAAATGAAATACAGAAATATATCATTTACATAAGTATTCACACCCCTGAGTCAATACATGTTAGAATCAGCTTTGGCAGCGTGTCACGACTTCCTCCGAAGCTGCCTCCCCTCCTTGTTCGAGCAGGCTTCGGCGTTCATCGGCCTTCTAGCCACTGCCGCTCCATATCTCATCATTCCATTTGTCTTGTCTTGTCAATTACACACACCTGGTTCATATTCCCCTCATTAGTACGTGTTTAAGTGTTCCCTCTGCCCCCCTTGTCCTTGTGGGTGATTGTTCATTGTGAGGATTAGTAGCTCGGTTGAGCTCAGTATTTTGTATTTGGTATTGTCCCCGTGTGCATGTTTGTTCCAGTGCGCCTGTTTTGCGCACTGGACTGGTTACGCTGGATTACAGAATAAACTCTGTATACTGTGATTTACCCTCCTGTGCCTGACTCCTTCAAATCACGCATCACAGAATCACCTACCAACTATGGAGTCAGCGGGAGAGGAGTGCATGCCTGGAGTCGTGGCACGGGTCCAGGAGCATTCAACAATGTTAGCCAGCTTGGGAGAAGCGATGTATTGGGTTCTCCAGGTCGTCCAACGCCTGGAGAGGAGAGGACCCGATCTGTCGAGACCAGCTGGGCAACCGGATCCAGCTACCCACACCCCAGCACCTAGAGCGATCCATATATCCCGACCACGGGAGTTCGACGGGACAGCTGCTCTCTGCCAGGGATTCCTCCTCCAAATGGAGCTCTACTTCTCCAGCATCAGTCCGGCCCCATCGGAGTGGGAGAAGGTGTCCGCCCTCATCTCCTGCCTCTCGGGGAAAGCCCTGGTGTGGGCCAACGCGGTCTGGAACGAAGGAGGAGCCGCGTTGGACAACTACGGGGAGTTTGAACGAGCGGGCCCTTATCGACCACTTCCGGTGCCATCTGCGGGAGGACATCCGAAGGGAGCTAGCCTGCCGGGACACCATGTTGTACTTCACGCAACTGGTGGACATGGCCATCCGTTTGGACAACCTGCTGGCGGCCAGAGGACGTCCTGGAGGGGGTCTGCCCGTTCCAACCCCGGCCGACTCGGATCACGAGCTGATGGAGCTGGGTGGAGCCGCGATCCGAGAGAGCGGAGGACGACTGCATCAGTGTCACTCTGGTGGCACGAAGGGACATTACACCGCACAATGTTGTCAGCGTTCTTTTGGGTCTGGAGGCGGCAGGTAGGGCACTCTCGCATCTCCCCAGGTATCGAACACCACACTTGTTCAGAGCCCTCTGCTGCGCACTGTATCCTACCCATCCACCTTCCTGATCACATTGTAGTTCCCCAGTGTAAGGCACTAGTCGATTCAGGCACGGCTGGGAACTTCATGGACAGGGCATTCTCACACAGTTTAGGCATTTCATTGGTTCCCCTATCCATTCCACTCCCCATCAGAGCACTTGACAGTCGACCATTAGGGTCCGGGTTTGTTAGGGAAGTTACCGCACCAATCACCATGGTTACCCACTAGACTCATAGCGAGCAAGTCACGTTTTTTATTATTAAAAGTCTCCTGCTTTCCCTTAGGTACTAGGTATCCCTTGGTTAGCATTCCACAAACCCACATTCTCATGGCCGCAGAGGGTTCTCACGGGGTGGTCGCGAGAGTGTCAGGGTAGGTGTCTCGCTGTTTCTGTTGGTGCAACCACGGTGGAAAGTCCAGACAGTACCTCCACCGTGCGATTTGGCGCACGCGTTTTCCAAAATGCAGGCGACCAAGTTACCACCTCATCCGGTAGACGCTGTGCCTCTCAGGTGTTATGTGTATCCCCTGTCACAGGCTGAAATGGAGGCTATGGAAACATACATCACTGAGTCCCTGTGCCAGTGGTTTATACGTCCCTCCACTTCACCCGCCTCCTCAAGTTAATTTTTTTGTGAAGAAGAAAGACGGCGGTCTGCGCCCTTGCATTGATTATCGATCACTGAACAAGGAGACAATACGATTTAGTTATCCTCTCCCCCTCATTCCTTCAGTGATCGAGTCAATGCATGGGGCGCGCTTCTTCACCAAATTAGATCTCCGGAGTGCATACAACCTGGTGCGTGTCCGAGAGGGGGATGAGTGGAAGACCGCATTCAGCACAACCACGGGGCATTATGAATACCTGGTGATGCCCTACGGTTTGATGAATGCTCCATCCGTCTTCCAGTCCTTTGTGAACAAGGTGTTTCGGGACATGCTTGGTCGCGGTGTAGTGGTCTACATCGATGACATTCTGGTGTATTCCACTACGCGCGCCGAGCATGTGTCCCTGGTTCGCAAAGTGCTGGCCCGACTGTTGAAAAATGACCTTTATGCCAAAGCAGAAAAGTGTCTGTTTTTCCAGCAGTCCGTCTCCTTCCTTGGATACCGCATTACCACCTCAGGTGTGGAGATGGAGGGAGATCGCATTTCAGCCGTGCGTAATTGGCCGACTCCAACCACGGTTGAGGAGGTGCAGCGCTTTATTGGCTTCGGCAACTACTATCGGAGGTTTATCCGGGGCTTTGGCAAGGTTGCAGCTCCCATTACATCTCTGTTGAAGGGTGGGCCGTCCCGGCTCCGCTGGTCTGCTGAGGCTGACAGGGCCTTCAGTAACCTGATGGGTCTGTTCACCTCTGCCCCGGTACTGGCCCACCCCGATCCATCGCTACCGTTCATAGTGGAGGTGGATGCGTCTGAGGTAGGGATAGGCGCTGTCCTATCTCAACGCTCGGGCACGCCACCCAAGCTCTGCCGCTGTGCCCAAGCTCCGCCGCCGCCAGGCCAGGTGGGCCCTATTCTTCACCCGGTTTGATTTCACACTATCATACATCCGGGGGTGCGAAGAACACGAAGGCCAGGATTGTCAGGGGCGTATGAAACGAGGGGGGCCCCCGAGCAACCCCCTATACTCCCACCGGGGGTCCCCGTTCACATTCAAGGGTTTGGAAAGGCGTTATGGAACATTGGGGGGCTCGGTCAGCCTGCCCTGGTTTCCCCCCCGGTCTAATGGGGGGTGGAACAGGTAAAAAAGGGGTGGGGGTAGGTTTCTGCGGGCCCCACGCCCGGACCGGGCCGGGAGTAAATCAGGTTTTTGCCATGGGGGCCCAATATCCTAGAACTCCTCTGTCACTCCTTCACTACCCCAACGCCTTCCAATGTGTTTTAGGGTTACCCAAAACCCGGTTTTGGACCATGGGACCAGAGCCAACCGGGGTCCTGCGGGGGATGACCCCCTTTTCCTTGGGGTTTATTTTTCATTTTGGGGGGATTAGTACTCGGGTTGACTCAGTATTTGTATTGCCGGGGGGGTTTACCCTGGTGCAGTTTTCCATGCGCCTTTTTGCGCACGGATGGTTTCGCTGGATTTCGGAAAAAAACTCTGTTATGTGATTTTTTTCCCCCCCCCTGACCCTTCAAAATTTCGCTCACACACATTAAGCTGGAGTCTTTTGCGTAAGTCTCAAAAAGGGAAACACCGGATTGTACAATTTTTGCACATTATTTTTTTTTTTTAATTCTTCAACTTGTCAATTTGTTTTTTGATCTTTCAACACCTTTTCAAATTTTCCATGGATTTTCAGACAATTTAAGGAAAAATTTAACTCCACCACTCGGGAACATTAATTTTTCTTGGTAAGCAAATCCAAAGTTTTTTGGCCCCTTTTTTTTAGGTTGTTGTTTGCTGAAAGGTGAATTCATCATGAAACTCCCTAGTTCATGCCCCATGACAGCATACCCATAAATATGCAACCACCACATGCTTGAAAAAGAAGAGTGGTACTCAGTGATTGTTTTTTTTGGATTTCCCCCCCAAAAAATAATTTTGTGTTGGGACTACAGCGCATTCGGAAAGTATTCAGACCCCTTCCCTTTTCCACATTTTGTTACGTTACAGCCTTATTCTAAAATGGATTAAAGAAAACAATTTCCTCATCAATCTACACACAATACCCCATAATGACAAAGTGAAAACGGGTTTTAGAATTATTTGCAAATGTATTAAAAATAAAAAGCACATACCTTATTTACCTAAGTATTCAGACCCTTTGCTATGAGACTTGAAATTGAGCTCAGTGCATCCTGTTTCCATTGAACACCCTTGAGATGTTTCTACAACTTGATTGGAGTACACCTGTGGTAAATTCAATTGATTGGACATGATTTGGAAAGGCACACACCTGTCTACATAAGGTCCCAACAGTTGACAGTGCATGTCAGAACAAAAACCAAGCCATGTTGTCCGTAGAGGATTGTGTCGAAGCA